AATACCAAACAGCTCTTCTGGAAGTTCAAGTCGATATGCTTGTTTGCCAATACGTTCAATGATTTTGAATGGTCCAACGAAACGTGGACTAARYTTACHTTGCTTACCAAATCGTAGAATACCCTTCCAAGGGGAAACTTTCAACATAACCATGTCGCCCACGGTGAATTCAATTGGTCGTCGACGATTATCGGYRTACRACTTWTGTCTGTCCTGAGCGGCTTTCATCCTTTCCCGAATAACTTGAATCTTATCATGCATAATTTGAATCATTTCGGGTCCAGCAAGCACTTTCTCACCCGTCTCACGCCAACACAGTGGAGTTTGACATTTACGACCATATAAAGCCTCAAAAGGCGCCATATCGATAGTCGAGTGATAGTTGTTGTTGTATGAAAATTCAACCAATGGTAGATGCATATCCCAACTACCACCAAACTCAAGGATACACGCACGCAATAGATCTTCTAACGTCTGTATCATGCGTTTGGACTGGCCATCAGTTTGGGGATGATAGTTTGTGCTCAATGCCACGGGTGTCCCTAGTTCTCGTTGTAAACTGGCCCAAAATTTCGAAGTAAATCGAGAATCTCGATCAGAAATTACCTTCAGAGGAACACCATGTCGTGCAATAATCTCGTCGATATAAATTTGTGCCCATTTATCCATAGAATACGACTCTCGAACAGGCAKAAAGTGAGCACTTTTGGTTAAACGGTCCACGACAACCCAGATGCTGTCGTGCTGACGAGACGTCTTCGGTAGCTTTGTAACGAMATCCATTGTAAGTTCCTCCCATTTCCACACCGGTATATCGAGAGGTTGAAGGCTACCATAAGGTTTTTGGTGTTCAGCTTTAACCTGCGAACACGTAACACATTGTTCCACATATCGGCCGATATCACGCTTCATTCCCGGCCACCAATATTCAGATCCCAAATCGTAATACATCTTTGTACTGCCCGGATGCACAGACATCCGCGACTTATGTGCTTCAGATAATACCAATTCTCGAATACCACCGAGTTTTGGAATCCAAACACGGTCCTTAAAGACTTTAAGTCCTCGACTATCATCTGTCAGATACGAAACATAACCAACTATACGCTCTGGTTTCACACGATCAGGCTTCAAAGCCTCTACTTGCCATTTTCGTATGTTGTCAACTAGTGTGGATGTCACGGACGTATGTGTAATAGCATAACACATGGAGTTTGCATACGTCTTCTAGCTTAAAGCATCTGCAACAACATTAGCTTTACCTGGATGATAGAGAATTTCACATTCATAGTCTTTAATCAGTTCCATGGCTCGTTGTTGCCTCATGTTCAAAGTCTGTTGAGTGAAGATATACTTCAAACTCTTATGATCTGTGAATAGTTGACATTTGGTACCATATAAGTAATGACGACATAATTTTAGTGCAAAAACGACCGCTGCCAACTCAAGATCATGAGTTGGATAGTTCTTTTCATAATCTTTCAACTGTCTCGACGCGTATGCAATTACGTTGCCTCACTGCATAAGAACACAACCGAGACCCAATTTAGAAGCATCGCTGTAAACTACCAAGTTGTCACTACCTTCTGGTAAAGCTAGAACAGGAGCATCTGACAAACAAAGCTTTAACACATGAAAAACATTCTCTTGAGCTTCACCCCATTCGAACTTGACATCTTTCCGGGTCAACGAAGTTAAAGGCACGACAATTTTATAGAAATCCCGTATGAATCGTCTATAATAACCCGTGAGTCCAAGAAAACAACGAATCTCAGATGCATTCTTAGGTTGCTCCCAATTCTTTACAACTTCAACTTTGGACGGGTCAACCGACACACCGTCACAAGAAATCGTATGACCTAGGAATTGCACCTGACGTAGCCAAAATTCACATTTCAAAAATTTAGCATATAGACGCTCTTGTCGAAGTGTTTCAAGCATCTCACACAAATACTTCACGTGATCCGCTTCAGATTTGGAATATACAGGAATATCGTCTATAAACACGATCACAGATTTGTCCAACATTGGCCGGCACACGCGATTCATCATATCTATGAATGCTGCAGGTGCATTAGTTAAACCAAATTGGATAACTAAAAATTCATAGAGGCCATAACGTGTACGGAAAGCCGTTTTCGATTTATCTTCTTCACGCACTCTCAGTAGATGATAACCCGACCGTAAATCAATTTTAGAGAAGTAACTCGCACCTTGCAATTGGTCGAACAAATCATCGATACGTGGAAGTGGATATTTGTTCTTGATCGTTACTTTGTTTAACTTACGGTAATCGATGCACATACGCATTGAACTGTCTTTCTTCTTTACAAATAGTACTGGAGCACCCTAAGGAGAAGTGCTCGATGGGATAAAACCTTTATCGAGAAGTTCTTGCAATTGATTCTTCATTTCTTTCATTTCAGCAGGAGCCAGACGATACGGCGTCCTAGCAATCGACGTTGCACCATGAATTAAGTCAATTCGAAATTCAACTTGTCTATCAGAAGGTAAACCGGGTAAGTCCTCGGGAAATACATCCGGAAATTCACACACAACCTGTACGTCACTAACCGTTTTCTTTACCTCTTTCGACGCATCAAAATATAAGCTAAATAGGAAGAACAACCTTTTGATAGGTGTCTTCGAGCTTTAAGCGTAGAAATCAACTTTACGTCCCCTTTACGCTTTTTACCGTAAACATATAAATAGTCAACGTTGTTCGGTATACGGATTATGCGTTGAAAACACAAAATATCAGCCCGATTTTTAGCCAACCAATCCATATCAATAATTATATCAAAGCTATGGATATCCATCGGTACAAGATCTAAGAAAAACTCATGCTCATCTAATTGCAACACACAATCTTTGTAAACTTTATCAGCTAGCATAGATGTGCCATCAACAGTGTCAATGTAAAAAGGTTTAGCAAGCACATATGGCACAAAGTTTAAACATCGAGCAAATGTATGAGAAACGAATGAATTAGTAGCACCAGAATCAAATAAGATACGAGCGGGATGAGAATTAACGAGAAATATACCCATAACCACATCCAGTTTATCTCGAGSTTCCTCAGCAGTGATTTGAAAAGCTCTGGCCTGGACGCGCGGTACCTCCTCCTTTTGACGAGGAGCACCACTAGTATAAGGTCGGCAAACAGAAGCCTTACTTTCCTCAGGTTTAGATCGAGGGCATTCTCTCTAACGATGGCCTATAGCACCACATGAGTAGCATGTCATATCCCTCCTCAGGCAGTTCGGTCTCACGTGTCCAACTTCACCACAACCATGACATTTAACTTCAGGGCGAACAGTGTTGCATCGGCCCCGATGAGCCTTACCACAAGTAGAACAGGGTGGATGAGCATTTGACTGAAGGCTATAAGCTTGGGACCAAGATTGAGGTCGCGATCTAGCTTGGGATTGAGCGTATCTCGGATTGAAATTCCTAGAAAATTGTTGTGTTGGTGCAGATATGGCACCTTCAATTCGAGGTCGCTTGGCTGGAGGAGCTGGATTACGATCCGAGTGGGTCAAATCATGTTTGTGCCGTTGTGCAGATTCCACCGCTTTCTTAAACTCTGAAATGTCACGATTGGCGACGACATCTCGAATCTCTGATCGCAATCCGTCTATAAAGTGGTCTACACGTTCCTGTTCTGTAATCAAGAAACGTGTGGCAAACTGTGCTTTATGATTGAACTCGGTCTCGTAGTCCACCATTGACATCTTTCCTTGATTAAGATCAAGAAACTCCTTCTCCAATCGTTTTTGTAGATCAATTGGACAATATTGCTTGTTAAAACGAGTTTTGAAAGACTCCYAAGGCATACCTTCTTTTTCAGTTTCAYCTAAAGCTGCAAAAGTAGCATTCCACCATATCAAGACCCTACTTTTGAACATGACCGTGGCATAATTCACTTTATCATCACATAGCACTCGGGTGATGTGAAAGACCTTCTCAGTATTCAATATCCATTCAAGTGCCTCCAATGGATCAACCTTCCCAAAGAACTCAGTAGCACCGCTACCACGAAAGGTTTTAAAAGAGACTCAGTCGGTTTTGGGTTTTGAGGTGTCACCCGTTTCTTTCTCCTTACCTTTACTTTTATCATCTTTAGACTTTCTATCGTCATGTCGTTGTTGGCTAACGTTTGCTGAATTAATAAAGTCATACGTTGCATTAAACGTTCGCTTCAAGGAGACATCGGTGCCTCATCATCATAAATATCCAGGTGTGGAGCATTTTCTCTTACATTGTCGTTAGATGGGGTGTGACTAGCTTCATCACCGTCGGCCATCTTTCTGAAAGTTACGACGTATACATAACATTAAATAGAATCCTATAACAAATTCCCAATTCCCACCTAGGTTTCTCCTAAGTTCATATCACGTTTAAATCAAAACATACTTACTACATGATACCCACACAAGGTTTAAGTCCGGATACCGTCGCTAGTATCCAGTTCACTTAAACTACCGCTCTGATACCAAATTGAAAGACCCAGATTACATAAACACGTATAAAGGGGATAATTGCAACGTATTTGCAAAAGTGTATATTACATATAAGTCAAAAACTCTAAATCTAGATCAAACTCAAAGCAAAAACCGTTTGAACCAAATTCAAAGAAAGAAAGAAAAGCCCTATTTGATACGGGTTTAGTGAAAAGAACAATACCATTCTCAAGAAAATGTTGAAAGAACACATCTTTTGAATCCCAACTCTTTCAATCCGGTTGTGATCCAAGAGGATGTGGTTCGAGCAATCATTACGTCCTCGAATCCAATCACCCTCATGTGAGTCATGTGATTTGGTTTAACGGGATTTTACAAATGGAGTTCGTGCCAGGAACTAAAACGAAAAGGAACCGCAAACCATAATAACAAAATTGTATTTGTATAAAAAATAGGGACATAAATCAAAACCGAAATGAACCCAAAAACGTAAATATTTTGGGAGAAAAAGAAAAAGGAAAAGAGAAGCACAAAAAAGCAAGTGCAAGAGAGAGAAAGAGGGTTGCTATAGATTAGGCGGGATTATAGAAACACGTCTGGTTTTTATCAGAACACCATGTCCAGAAGGCCTCTTCCCTCGAGCTTTCTACTCGTCAGGGGTTGGGTCCGTTTCCCCAAAAGCTCAGATGCCATACTCGGCTTTCTTCTTCTTCTTCTATCTTCTTCCTCCACCCCAAACCCTGGCTCCACCATTCTCCCCTAGAGGGCCCCACCACCCTCACCTTCTTCTCATCTTCACCCTCAACGGATCTCCATTTCTTCTTCTTTTAAGAGGTATATATATATATATATATATATAGATATACCTTTCTTCAATCAACCAGTAAATCATTTTGTGTGTTCTTGCCTTAATTTACCATATGCATCTTGTTTCTTTTTGTCTTATGCCCCATACACACATGCCTTTCCGGTTTCCCTTTAAGAAGTATTCAATCAAGAATGCATTTTCATGGCTTCTTAGATTAATTGATTACTTAATAGGTATTCTTTCTTTTTGGATTTTGGTTTTCTTCCATCAAATCATTTATTCAATTTATGTTTTCTCAGTTTTATTTAATCTATTTCTTTTTTGTCTTTTTGCCCCAATACACATATGCCTTTCCCCTTCCCTTTGAAGCATTCAATCAATGATATATTATGCTGTTGTTAGGTCATTATTATACATGTTTTGTTGTCTTGGGTCCTCCTCTTTTGATAAACTTACATCAGGCATCATTTCCTTTTTGGAAAAGAATCATGCCAAAGGGAACACCCCTTTGATTGCGCTATTTAATTCTCTGTTTCTAGTTTATTATATGCTTTTCTTCTTTCAGTAATTGAGTTTCTTTATATTCTCCTAGAGGAAAGTGAAATTGGTTTGGTTTGGTATGATGAGAGGTTGAATTTTGAGGGTAAAGCATGGGCTTTTACTATCATTTTCTTTAGCTTTTCAGAACCCACATTGCATTTTTTCCAATTGTTGCCTTTTCGTTTAGAAAGGGGTCGGAGAAAGTGATCAACCCATTTCTCTTTTTCTGTTTTTTCACTGATGAGATTAAGGCATAGAAAATGCATACCTTCTTGTTCTTCCCATCACAGAGTATACCTCTCTGTTTATCTCTTCGTTCTTCGTATACAATTCTACCTGCTCGTACTTCAGACCCACATCATGTTTTCTCTCTATGCACTTTTGTTCAAATTTAGTGAAATATAGTTGCTATGGTTTAATGTTACCATGATACCTTTAAATTATAAAACACCGATGTAATATTTGATGATCACATCATATATACAGAAGCTAGATGATTAATTTTCACTGTTCTAATGTGCTAGTGGAGGTCATCCTAAAATATTTTAGCTCACTTTTCAAGTTGTCATTTTTATGTCATAAAAAATAATAATATGACCATTCTTAGTGTTTTATCTCTAAAGCCACTCCTTGTGTTGCCAGTGACTAATCCATTGGTGCATTTACGTTTTCATTCACGAATCAGGTTGATGAAGATGATTATCCTTGGAGACACAAGAAGGGCAACGTTTTGGAATGGTTACATAAGACTCTTACCAGAAAACCAATATTAGCTCAATGTATTAGTGAGTGAATGTTGTTTTACACCTTCCATTTCTTTGTTGTCTCTAGCTCTAGGTGTATGTATGCTTGTTTGAATTATGATGTGTTACTTCTTTGTTGTATTAATTAATGATCATTGCAAAATTTTGATAGCTGCTGCTATGATTGGTCCTAAAAACATGTAATTTTTTTTTCTAATATTGGGTATTTGTTGGATTTAGCTACTGCTATGGTTGGTCCACGAACATGGATTGGAGGAATCTTTAGCCGAACAGGCCTCAAGCGCTCTGGAAGTAACAAATACATTGATTTTAAGTGGACTCCTGTTCAGGTATAATATCTGAGTAAAATTAGAATTTGGTTCTGGCGGGTATGCTTGATATGTTCCAACTATTTTCTCACTTGAAAACTTGGATCAGTTTTATATCCATATACTTATGAACACAAGTATACACATTTGGGAATAACAGAACTAACAGTTGAAAAACACGAGTTTTGGGTTTCTTTGGGAAAATTAAATATGACTGGATTGACATGGAAAATGGAATGGGCAACGTCTTAATCTGCCTGTACTTAATTCTGTACAGGAAGCAAGATATCAGAGGCTTCAAGATCGTACAAATGTGCCTTATGATGAGACTTGCATTGAGCATCAAGTATATTTCTTTTATCTCATTCATTTTCTTTTATTCTAATTGATAAAATCAAGTAGTCATCTTAGGTAAAGCTCAAGATATCATACAAGTTGTTTTTTACTGGTTTATTATCGCCATCATGGTATTCTCTTTTCAAACAGTTATGAACTCCTTTAAACTATGCTACTTCAAAATGGTTTCGTTCCAAATGCATATTACTAGGAATATACTGTTAAAGTGATGTTAGTAATTTGGGATTCAAAAGGATAAGGAAATGAAATCAATTGAATTTGTTAGATAAACTAACCAGCGCCATATTTGTTATTTCACATTCTTCTTATTGGAGGTTGATTTTGGCATTATTTCTTGTTTGATGCAATTGTTTTGTTTTGTTGACAGAAAGCCCTTGTAGAACTGTGGAATTTAGCGTATCCAAATGTTACACTTCAAGGATTGATCTCCGATCAATGGAAGGAAATGGGGTGGCAAGGAGCTAATCCATCGACCGACTTTAGGTACAGCTAGCCTTTCTTGATCCTCATTCACCACCAATTTCATTACCCGACAATATTTTACTTCATTCTGATTAAGGTTGTCTGTTATAGGGGTTGTGGTTTTCTTTCACTTGAGAATTTGCTGTTCTTCGCAAAAACATTTCCAGTATGGTTCCTTTACTGCTAGAACAAACGTCAGTTGGATTTGCATTATATTCAATCTTGAATGTCATTCAACTTTCTCTTTTTTCATTGCAAATTTTAGATATTATTCAAATTGAAAAACCAAGTGATTTACTAATTGAAATAAGTTTTCGAATGAAGACTGCTTTTCGTAGGTTACTATTCAAACAACGTGGAATAAGGGCACAATGGGAGTATCCTTTTGCTGTCGCTGGCATTAATGTATCATTTATGTTGACTCAGATGTTGGAGTTATATTCAGGTTTGCATCTTCAATCCATCTTACACGATGAACGTATATATATTCAAGATGATTTTCTCTTGTTTGATGAATTCTATTTTGCAGTTAAGCCTAGATGTCTTCACTGTGTCAATTTTGTAAAAATATTGGGAGGTAAGTTTCTACTGTTGACCGTAGTGTAGTCTGGTCTCGAACCCTTTTTCATTCAACTATCTGCATTTGATAAACATTTTAACGGGATTCATTTTCTTGTGTTTGATTGCAGAGGATGAAGAAGCCTTTGATGTTCTTTATTGTATAGCTTTCGCATTGATGGATGCACAGTGGCTCGCTATGCATGCATCCTACATGGAATTCAACGTAATCTCTCTCTCTCTCTGTCTCTCCCTATATATATGTGTGTGTATATATATTGTCATCTGTTGTACTGTTCCTTTCTCTCTGACGGCTACTTATTTAAAAACAGGAAGTTTTACAGGTTACACGGACGCAATTGGAGAGAGAACTTGCACTGGAAGACATCCACAGAATACGAGATTTGCCCGCCTTTAACCTTTTGGATACTTAGTTTATTTGACTTGAATGGTTGTACAGTTAGATTTCACAAGATTCTTCTCCTTTCAACTCCCATGGCTGACCACCATGCCGTGAAATGAGGTTAGATTCAGTTTTTGGTTGCAGTTTTGTAGTTAAACCTTGATGCTGCTCTTTCAGGCTCATTTCTTCATAGATCAATATATCTTTTTACATGTTAGATTACAGTTTCTTCCCATCTTGTTCCTTCCTCTTTCTGCTTCCGCCTATTATGGCCCAAAAACTGGTTTCCAGATTGTGTTTTCGTGGTGGACCTTATTTATTTATGAATTTTAAGACGTATATTTTGGATTTTTTATACTAAAAATGAGAAAGATATACTCATAACACAAAGGAAATCTGATTATCATCATGAAAATTGTAAGAAAAACGAGATCAAAATCAAAATCAAAATCTTGCGAGTATTTAACGTTTAGATGGAAAAGGAGATGTGGGGTTTAGCTAAGGAACAGGGTAGGATTTGTTTTTACACATGCATTTGTAAGCCATAGGACATGTTTCAGCCTCTGCAATCGATGCACATATGAAGCTAACCATGACCAGTCTGCACGGTGAACACGAGCCACATGCATGAGAACAGTCCGGTAACCTTGACCCAGCCACAGCAACTGTATCCACTTTGTGCTTCCCTGGTGCCACCCCATGCCCATCCGTTGTCACTTCACTCGGATGATGATGATGCCCATGACCTGTTTTCACATGACATAAAATAGATTAAAAACATCGTACAGTACAACCAAGTGATGCACGATAGGGTAATTTATAACGTACGTGAATGTTGCCAACTGATATGCCTTGCGGAGACGAAAAGCGGAAGAAGCAGAAGCACAGAGAAAAACACTGAACCCTTCATTCCAGCCTATGAATTTAGATCGATGGTTTGAGTTAAAAGGAAAATGTTAGAAAAAAGAGGGATGGGTGAAGGGATGTATTTATAGAAAGGTGGTATTGAAGCAAGTCACAGGCAAAGGGAAGTGGAAAAGGGTTCACATGAAAGAGGGTGAACCACAACTTCACACTTTTACTGAGCTTAAATTCACTTTGGTAGAGTGACCAACATTAAATGGGAGTTGCTCGTTTTTTTGCAACACCGATACTGATAGGTTTAAAAACCCGATTAAATAACGATCCAATATTCGTATGTGAATGTAGAGATGGACCACAAAAATGATTGGAAAATGGCGAATTCACCCAAAAAGGAAAACTTAATGATGTCACATTTTTGTAACAAGGGTACTAGAGTTAATGCGGTTAGGACAACACAGTAAACGTGATAAGGACCAACTCGAAAGAACAACATTGGGATGATGTTGTTTTGCATGAAAAACTTTGTGAGTGTTAAATGCATCAGTTTTGAAAGCAACCATCTCTCATCTCTTGCATACATGTCTCCTTCAAACGTATTTTGGAGACAAAAAGGGAAGTCAAAGTTAAAATCGAGCGAAACGCATTTCTAACATACAATTTGAATCGTGTCGTAATTTCCTTATGTTTTTGTCTTGTAATGTCACGCGAGAATCGGACTGTTCTTCACTTTTAAGTGATAGTGTTGAATTTCACGGGTAAGCGCTTACCCAGTAAGTGATTAGGTAGACGGCCCTTTAATTTAAATTTCTTGGGTTTTTGTAAATAATTTCAATCAAACGAATTCAATTTCGACGGTCCATGTTGAAGATTTTGAGATATTTACCATAATTGAGGCCATGATTAATAAAAAGGTAAGAGATATTACCGTTGCTAAGCCCCGTTACTCATCAACTCACTCAACCCTCTCATCTTCTTGATCCTTCAAGAACAATAAAGAAAGGGTGGGTGATCTATGACTAGATGATCAACAATGTGGACCAACAAAGATCACAACAATTTCACTCCAAAAGGGTTTCCGTTTTCCACCACTCAGCTGGAGAAGAATCGCACCTGTTCTTCCAGTATCTATTCTTCTCCGCCATCTGCAATCAGGCAACCGCTGCTGCCGGCGTCTGAAAACAAACGGAATCCGTCACACCCCAACAATGATGTTAGTCTCTTGCATGTCATCCGCAAAGTCCCTGCCGGCGATTCTCCCTACATCAGAGCCAAACATGTTCAGGTCAGATTATAGATTCTTCTCTTTCTTCGTCAAATGTTGGAATTCTTTTAACGGTTTTTTTTGTTTCATTTCTTTTCATAAGCACTCTGTTCCTATAAATTTCTAAAATCCCCAAATTTTTAACCTTCAAATTAGTTGTGCACACTTTATCATTTCAGGAATATGGATCACGATCAATCAAGAAAGCCATTTTACAAACTCGAATGTAGATATCAAAATAAGTTAAAGAACAGATGACGAATTTGAAGCTGAAATTTACTTCATTTGACCTCAAAATTTAAACTGGGAAATGGGAATGGCGATTGGAGAGAGGAGTTGTTCTAAAATGTTTGACCATCTGTGAACTTTTGGTTTATTGAGGGTTAATTGGGTGATCTTTTCAAGTTTTTTCATGACAGTTGGTAGACAAGAACCCAGGCAAAGCTGTATCATTGTTTTGGGCTGCCATAAATTCAGGTGATCGCGTCGATAGTGCTTTGAAAGACATGGCAGCAGCGATGAAACAATTGAATCGATCCGATGAGGCAATTGAGGCTATCAAATCTTTTCGTCATCTATGCCCATTTGAAGCACAAGAGTCTCTTGACAACATTATGCTTGAATTATACAAGGTACAATTCTGCCCAATTCAAACAAAAACAATATTTGAATTCGAATAATAGTGCTAGAAGTGGGATGTTTTCAATAACCCATAAGACTTGTGTTTGAATTAAGATTAATTTCATCTTACCAGAGGTCTGGACGGTTAGAGGAGCAGATAGAATTGCTCGAATCAAAACTGAATGATATCGAGGGTGCTACAATGCAGAAGATGAACAGAACCAGGCTTGCCAGATCTCAAGGCAAGAAAATTCAAATCACAAGGGGACAAGAGTATTCAAGGTATACAACACCTGTGTTCTAGTTTCTATGCTCATCAAGTATCACAAAAAGAACAACCCCTTATAATTGGAAATATGAACATCTTCACATTCCCACAATTTATCTGGAATCGCTCATTCTTGCGAACTATTGTGTTTTCTTGCCATTTGCAGTAAAACAATTGTTATTTTGCAACGATATGTGAATTCCTAATGGTTTCTTATCTTTCTGAGTCTTTTTTTTACCAGGTTATTGGGCAACTTGGCCTGGGCTTACTTGCAGCAAGACAATTATAAACTAGCAGAAGAGATATATAGGTATATTCAAGCTATAATTCTCTTTTTTAAAGTGTTTTTAACACATCTTTACATATTTAGGGGCTTGGTGCACCAGGGGTTGTCATCTAATATTAGATTTGAATCTTAATGTTGCAGAAAAGCGCTTTATTTGGGGACAGATAAGAACAAGCAGTGTAATCTGGCCATTTGCTTGATGTATATGAACCAGATGACAGAAGCTAAATTTCTGCTAAATACCGTTGAAAATGCAAACAAAACAAGAGAAATGCATGAATCTTATGCCAAATCTTATGAGCGTGCGATTGAGGTGATGCATGAACTGGAATCCTGCAAGTCTCATGCTGAAAACAACACAAAATTTTCTTCGTTTCTTAGTAGAAACAAAGCAACAGATTGTGGAGAGGAAGGCAAGAAAGGAAACAGTAGAAGTATGCAGACTGATGCAGAATTTGAATACAAGAAAATCGATCTTTCTCCATTTCCGACTAGGAACATGCCTAGGACATCATTTACGCAACCTCGAATAGGCAACAAAGAAGATCCTAAAGGGGGGTGTTTTCGGAAATTAGAAATTGAGCAGCCTGCTGAAGAGAATGATCTTGAGGTGAAACTACCAGCTGCATCCAGTGAAACGTCTGTAATACCCTTGATGAGGGAAGCGAGAAAATGCAGGAAAAAATGGGGTGATATGATGGAAGAAGAAGAAGAAGAGTATGTTGATGAAAATGTGGATTGCTGCAACATGATGGATGAAAAGATGGAATCTTTAGACATTAATGATGGATATCGGATCCAACCAGGGGCTGGTAATCGCACAGTGAAACGATCTTTGGCTTTTGACGTGGATGAAAACATGTGGTTCAGCAACGAAAGTTAGGCTGCAGGTTTTTAAGGATATAATGTTTTCGTCTGAAACTCGAGATTAGCATTGAATATATAACTTCTTTATATGTAAGAGAATCGTGTGTTTGTAAGGATATACGAAAAGATTCTTGAGTCTTGTTGTGCATTAAAAGGTTTCTGATTTAAGGTTTGGATTGTTGTTTTGAGATTTGGGTTTTTGCAAAATTTGAATACATAAAAGACTTATCGTTCTTCTTGTAGGATTTGAGATTGGGGGTTTATGATTCATTCTATTTATTGACATAATGTACTCGAAAATAAAAATATCTTATTTGTAACGTCACATTGATTTTTGAGTTGTAAAATCTTCAAACCATATGGGTTATACGGTCATTTGAACCCAACCTAACCCGATGAACCGATATTCTTGTATTTCTTGGATTTAATATGATTGTTAAGTTCTTATTATATGCACATTAGATAATTACACCATCACGTATCATCTTCATGTACATATATTTTCAATCTATTCTCCATCTCTGTATAACTTTTTTGTATATATGTTCTGTAAATATGAAGAAATATATACAAATTAAGAAAAGTAGTTGAATGTGATACATTTACGATATAAGAAATATAGATAAATTATACCAAATGATGATGAAAAAATATTCAGAATAAAAACAACGTATTAAAGGTTAGAATAATATTTTAATATATCAAAATATCAATACAATCTAAGTTGATTGGAATAAAAAATTTCAAACGATAAACATTGGTTTGGATTATTTAAATACCATCGTCCCATAGTTTGAAAGGGGGAAAGTTATCAACAAGAAATCCAAATAACAAAATTTGATTGGCCACCGGAATTCCAACGTGGCACTCTTTTTCCCAATAAACCTTATCGTCCCCAACCAAGAGACATCAACCACAACGACAGGTTATACATTCCGCTGAAATATTGGTACGCTTTTTGTAACAGGAATCCATGGCTCTTCGAGCAGCTTCTCTTCTTCCATCTGCAATTTCCGTTCACAAGGAGGTAAAACTGCAAATTTAAGGATTATTATTGGTCCTGTTTTCTTATTGTGGTCTCAACTATGGGTGATTTCGTAATGTGAAGCAGGGGAAGTTGAATTCTTCTCTCAAGGAGGGTTCATTCAATGGAGCTTTTCTCTCAAAAAATGTCAAATCGGATTTCAGTTCTCTTTTGATTGGAACAAAGGTAACGTGTTTATGTGTGATTTCAGCTTGAATTCGTAGAGATTTATGTGAATTGTTTGATGGCTTCACTTCGCCAGGCCTATTTTCCTTTGAGGACAGACTTGCCGACCTCAACATAAAAGGATGAGCCTGATCTGTCTATTTGTACGCATTCCTTCTTAATTTTTATGGTTCGAGTTGAACCCATGCGCTTCAATATCAATTCCGGTTCTTTTGAATCGATCCTCCATCTTGTGTAGTTGATTGAATTTCAACACTCGCTCCATTTTCCCTAATTTTACGAAAAAAATAAGTATCGAAGAGGTGATAGTTACATGTCAATTTACACCAAATGAGTCGATTTTCGTAGAATGGATACTGATAATGAAATGAACGAGTAATTGATAGATGCATTCATGGTTTAGTAAAGCCACTTGAGGATTGTAAATTTGTAATCCCCCTCTTGTTTCTCCTGTTAGTACCTGCCCCATGCATTGTCGTATTCTACCTGATGCATTAGAATCTGTATCTGGTGTATTAGAAGTTGTTCCGAATGAACTTTATTTATCTGGTGCATTAGGAGGACCAAAATGTTTGAAGCTCCCAGTTATATCTTCAAAAGAGGACTAACTAAAACCCTAATCTTTGGGCCATTGAACTATGGAAGGGTCATGAAAACTTCCAACAGTTGTACCAGATTGAAAAATATGTACAAAAATGCAATGCAGTGAGTGGCATTTGGAATGCCCATGAGGAATAGAGGCTTATATCTGAAGTTATTTCAGTTCTTGAAGATAAGTGGTGGTGCAGAAGTCTGAAACCATAATCAACAAGACTGATGTTTCTAATGGTATGCAATTCTTGATCACAGGAGCTTAGAAGGAAGTCATTGATGGGACCAATCCGCGCACAAACAGCAACCATGGCACCATCCGTCATTGAAGCCGCAGAAGATGGCAAGAAAACACTCAGGAAGGGCAACGTGATAATTACAGGAGCCTCATCTGGTCTTGGTCTAGCCACAGCAAAGGCTTTGGCCGATACTGAAAAATGGCATGTAATCATGGCTTGTAGGAACTTCCTGAAGGCAGAAAGGGCCGCTAAATCAGTCGGCATTACTAAGGAAAACTACACCGTTATGCACCTTGACCTTTCTTCGCTTGAAAGCGTTCGCCAATTTGTGGACACGTATAGGCGTTCTGGTCGACCCCTTGACGCACTTGTGTGCAATGCAGCCATCTACTTGCCTACGGCTAAAGAACCCACTTACACTGCCGATGGATTTGAACTTAGTGTAGGGACTAACCATCTTGGCCACTTTCTCCTCTCAAGATTGTTGCTAGAAGACCTCAAGAAATCAGATTACCAGCAAAAACGACTCATCATTGTTGGCTCCATAACAGGTATGATTTCTTAGCAAAACTGAAGTCCAAATCTTTGAACCATGAATTGAACCAACTTGAATCAATTCGGTTGATTTTAGGGAACACCAATACTTTGGCTGGGAACGTGCCACCAAAGGCTAACCTGGGGGACCTGAGAGGGTTAGCCGGGGGCTTAAACGGGTTAAACAGTTCTGCTATGATCGACGGGGGAGAATTCGATGGTGCTAAGGCCTACAAAGATAGCAAAGTATGCAATATGCTAACAATGCAAGAGTTTCACAGACGATACCATGAAGAAACTGGAGTTACCTTTTCGTCCTTGTACCCTGGTTGTATTGCTACAACCGGTTTATTCAGGGAACACATCCCCTTGTTTCGACTTCTATTCCCTCCTTTCCAGATGTACATCACGAAAGGCTACGTTTCAGAAGAGGAAGCCGGAAAACGTCTAGCCCAGGTCAGCAAATTAACTTACAACTCTTAATTAACAACAACACAGGAGGCATATAGATTGATGAATGCTGACGAAATCGGAGGTGTTTTTATACATTGATGAATGTTTTTTTGTGATTTCTTTCAGGTAGTAAGCGATTCAAGCCTAACGAAATCGGGTGTGTATTGGAGCTGGAACAAGAACTCTGCTTCCTTCGAGAACCAGCTGTCTCAAGAAGCCAGTGATGCAGAGAAAGCTCGAAAGCTGTGGGAAGTCAGCGAAAAACTGGTTGGTTTGGCTTAAAATCAACAAAATTACGAGTCATGGTCAATAATAATAGTTCTATTTCATGGTATGAATGTGTTTGTTATTCTTGAACTCCCAATGTCATACAAGAATGGCGCTTGTACCAGAAGGTCATTGACCCACAGTAACTGGGTTACCGGTAGATTAAAAGCAGTGCTAAATCAACTTGTTCACATTCTTGTGTTTTATGCTACTAAAAAGGTAAAAGAAATTCTATGCTAGTATGGTCAGTTAGCTGCATATTATTTTAATAAGTTATCGATCGGCTGAAAACATGGGAGAAAAATGGACTCATGAATTCGATATGACAAAAGAACAGTTGGGTCACAACATGTAAAGAGCGATCATACAATCACAATCGTCTAAAACATAGAAAAGTACTACTTATGCTTCATAACTATTAGAAGATGACGATAGAATAATGGACGAAAATTCAAGAAAATCTTGGAGCAACACAAGATTGCTAGGAGGCACTGAGCTAAATTGGTGCAAGGCGGTGGACGGTGGCACAGGGATCACCGCGTTGGCACTTCAAGTCTCTAAACACCCAAATATCCCACTTCTCAAAAAAGCCCTTCACAAGATCCAGAATGACCATCCAATCCTCAACTCCATGCTTTACAAAAACACCTCCACCCCCGGTGGCTCGGCCTGTTTCGTCATCAACCCTCCGATCCCTCACCTCCAACTCAACATCATGAGCCTCTCCACAACCTCAGAACTTCTCCGAACCCTCACGAACCGGGCCTCCAATGGGTCTTTGTCATCGTTACATTTGATCCTTGAGCATGAGCTTAACATCAACGAGTGGTCCACCAGCCGGTCGTTGTGCATCGGAGGGTTGTGCTTATGGTTTGCTAACTTGTACACGTTGCCGGAGGAGAAGTGGTTGCTGGTGATGCGGTTCCATACGGCGGTGTGTGATAGGACGACAGCGGTTTCGTTGATTAAGGAGTTGAGTGAAGTGATGGGGGAGAGGGAGGGAGGAAGGTATGGAGAAGAGGGTAATGTGGCGGTAGAGGAATTTATTCCGATTGGGAAGGCGAAGAAGACGATGTGGGCACACGGGAAGGACATGGTGGCTTACTCGGTTAACGCATTTCGGCTCACCAATTTGAAGTTTAAGGATGTGAAAGGTCCGTTACGTTCTGAAGTCGTGAGATTTAAGATGAACACACAAGAAACTCATATGCTATTGGCTGTAAGTTCGATTTCCATCCACAACAATAGATTCGTTATAATCATTAAATAAAAAGTAATTAAATTATTTATAATTTTTTTATATAAATTATTTATAATTTGTTTTTATAAAGAATGAAATTCAGTTTCATACAAACTAAATAGACTAAAGATTCTAAAACCTTAGACAAAAACTAAACCTCTTAACAACATTCCCGTCAAACCAAAAGTATCCAAGGAAAATTTACATTTAATTTCAAAATGTTTGTTCATTCTAGCATTGACATGACGGTAGTATTAAAATATATTCAATAAATTTCTTTGCATCATTCAAATTCAAGACATCCAAATCAACGGTAACAAACCAATCATCTTCTGAAAACAAGTGAACACACCTGCAGGTTACCGTTGAGAGATGCTTAACTATTAAGACCTAGGATTTTGTTCTCTATTTGGTTAGTGGTTGAAGTCTGGTCATCAAAGGGGTTTGCGTGACTGTTAACTTCAAGGCCCCATGCATGAATTAGTTAAGATAGGCGTAAACTGGTCTGAATATCCATGTTTTTAGGAAAAGTGAACGCACAAGGATTTACTTCCATAACTTATTGTATGATACATATTGATGTCCATCCTTACGACTCATCATTTCGTCTATTTCATATAGGGTTGCAAGTCAAGAGGAATAAAATTATGTGGAGTAATGGTGGCTGCGACACTGCTTGCCGTTTATAACTCCAAACGTCGAGCTAACAAAAACAGCCGGAAAAAGTATGGAGTAGTCTTTTTAAACGATTGTCGTTCGCATCTCCAACCACCTCTATCTCGTCATAATTTTGGTAAGCTCTTTCGGTAAGATATACCAACAAATATAAAATATTAATGAAAAGGGTGGTGCTGGTTGGTTGAGGTGCAAAGGGATGACCCATCTTCCCTGGGTTCAATCTTTCCCCCCTATACTTGTGGGCAGCGCAATTTAGTGTATGGGTTTTATCGGGTTCCTAATATAAAATGTTTATGCACTTGTTTCTCAAATATGAATCAGTGACCAAAAACAGAAAATACGAATTATCATTTATTCAATTTGATATTAACAAAATGACCAGGACTTCATTAATTTATAGGTATGCATATCATATATTGGATAAAGTGATGATATACTGTTCTACCCATTTGTTTTTCAGGATTTTATCATTCTGCCATTAGCACGATCCAAGAAGTGAGACGAGGAGAAAACCTATGGGACATGGCAACAAGAAGCTACACGTCTTTTGTAAGTTCTAAGAACAACAACAAACATTTCACAGATATGGCTGACTTGAACTTCCTTATGTCCAAGGCTGCAGACAACCCTAGTTTGACACCCAAGTCTTCTTTGAGAACTTCATTGGTATCTGTGTTCGAGGATCCTGTGATCGAGTCGTCTAGTGAGATGGGACGTGGTATTTTTCTAGATGACTATGTCGGGTGTGCCTCGATTCATGGAGTAGGTCCGTCCATTGCCATTTTCGATACCATAGTAGATGGACAATTGGATTGTGTTTGTGTTTACCCTTCACCACTTCATTCAAGGGAGCAGATGCAAGAACTGATTGCTAATATGAAAATTACTCTTGTTGATGGTATTAAAATGGAGGAAAACCTTGAAACCTAGCTAGGGTTGCATGTTGTATAACATAATTTGCTACCTTTTCATGATCGTCTACATGATTGATATATATAAACCAGACGATATTTATATATTTCCATGTTGTAATTTATGTACTTTGTGATTTCAGAGAGGAAAAAAAGACGAAGAAACGAAGCTAAAAGACGAGCTAAGCCCCAAGAATATATATATATATATATATATATATATATATAGCGAGACAGTGACCATAAACACAACAAAGTACTGTCCTAGCCAAGAACACTTAGAAAAACTTGTGAAAATAGACGCACACTAAAGGGAGATCAGAAAACCACAAAATACAAAAAACATATATAGACAGCCGGATAAATTTACGACCGAAATATAGATTGAAAACTAGACAAATGCAAACCAGAATTTGATGCTCCCTCCTTACGTTCCAACAAATTTATATCATCAACTGTTTCAGGTCTTCTCTATATTAATTGTTGGGTCACACAGTGATGTAGAGAGGCTAGCAAGAACGATTGAGGACCCCGTCAATTTTGCAAAAAGGAGCAAACAAAAGGTCCCACCGCTTTTCCCATGTGACTCACCGTTTGTCTTCTTGCGAGTATTCTCGCGACTAAACCCGTGGGGCTAGTCTCCTATGTCTTCTGACAGACCCACATCCTCTTACACAACAACTATCCTATTCATTTTTCCTTTTATCTTTAATTAATTTATTAGTTTCATTTTAGATTAGAATTAGTTTGAATTTAAGTTAATAGCCATCTCTTAGAGGCTACTATAGATTATAAATAAGATGTAATGTTAATTTTCATTATTATTCAGATTATTGATCATTAAAAAGTTCTTTTCTCTTTCAGAGATTTGTCATGAATTTCTTGAGTTTTACTGTTCATAATTCTCAACCATCGAGGGTTTAGACGCTTGCCGATCCTTTCCACACTTCCTACTGATGCATGTATCAGAGTAGGATTCACCTATCTTTTTCACTAACCATGGCAGATCCACAGTCTTTTACCAAAATAGATTTCGCTAGATGACTGCGCCCATTACCACAACTCTAGACAATCTGACGAAATTGGAGAAGAGAAAGGTCAAAGAATTACTCGTTATGTCAATGGTTTAAAGTCTTCAATCCAAGTTCAAATCGAACTACAAACCGTGTGTACTTCACTGAAGCTTCGAGCTAGGCACTAAAAGCATAGTTGATGAAAAAAATCTGCATGTTCCTCCTCTTACCGTCGATATCAAGGAGCTATCGAGACTCTAATTCCTACCAGCAAATAAAGGAAAAGGAGCTACAAACCCCTGAGACACCAATCCAATGTAGCTATTCCAATATGATATTTACAGTTTGAAAAATCTTAACCTAACCCGACCCAAAATACTACTCAACCCTATTCAAACTGTATGGTTGGTCGAATTGATACTTTGATAAATCAAAATATTATCTTCACCTTGAATATTTGTTTTCTCTACTTAATTCATTTTTTTTTTATCATCAATCATTAAATATAGATTATCCATATTTCTCTCAATTACTTTTCTTAATTTACATAGATATGTACAAATTTATTAGACATATATACGAAGGTGTTACACAGAGATGGAGAAGATATTGAAAATATATATGTATGAAGAGGATACATGATAGTGTAAGATAACATTTATTTTTTTGAAAGGTGTTAAAATCTGAAATCTAATTTATAAGAGATGATGTTGAATTTTCTGAAATCTGAATTATTATTTATTTTTATATATGAAGTTTAAAGTATGAATCAATAATACTGTTTTTAGGTATAACACCAACCATTACCTAAAACTAAAATTGTCTACTAACCCTTTCTATACAAAACCTCTCGACCTGCAAATTGATTGAAGTCACCATTATCAACGCCACGTGGTTGGAACCACTGCTATTTCTTCTCCAATTTGCCATTTGTCTCCATTGTGTGTGCCCTAAATTAATCTTGATCATAAATACCACTTCCAGCTAACCCACGTTACCCTACTTTCTCTCAACATTCAAACCCCACTTTTTTCACCCATAATTCTCTGTATTTCTCTATGTGTGTATCTTCTTCTTTTCAATTAAGGAATACACCCCCAAATAGCTACATAAGGTGATGATTTTTGTATGATTTCTTGTTGAAATTTGGAAATTTGCTATCGATGATCTTGCATTTTGCCATTTGGGTTTGGTTTGGTTTGTTTTGATATATAAATTGGTGAGTATTCCCTAGTTTTTGATTCTGATTGAAAATTTGAAAATGGGTGATCAAATCTTCGATTTTAGGTCATGGGTTGTGTTTGTTTGGATTCGATTGTTAATGGTGGCCAGTAGAGATCGAGAGCATCAGGTCTTTTAAAGGAATCGGAACAAAGATCGAGAGCCCAGAAAAGAGTGGCTACCACTTATTTTTCAGAGTACTTTAAAGATAAAAGGGTATAGAAAAGAAAAAAAAAAAACAAACGGTTTGAATTACAATACGTCTGGCTAAATCAGATTTAAGTGGCAATTAAGAGCTGAAACCGAAGAAATGACAAAACTTAAGTGTCTAATGTACATATTAATAAGTACTTAACAATCATATTAAATCAATGAAGTAATCAGGTTCATTGGGTTGAGTTGACTTCAAATGACTGTAACGCAATTTCTACCCAATACATACAATTAGGAAATTTTATAACTTCATTAGACATTGGGTTATTTCACATTAGGTTGGGCTGGTCGGGTTGGTCATTGGGTTTATAAGCACCCCTGGTTGCTACTCCTTTGATATATTGTTTCTAAGTTAATTCCAAGGGAATTGAAACATGGTCAACACGTTGTACTATAGGTGCATTGATGTTTTATAAAAAAATACATACGTCAACTTAGTGTACATGTATTTTAGAATTTTCAATCGAATTTAATGATGATGGTTCGGTTGTCGTTGAACATGAAAATTTATTTTCATGTTTTATTTTAGTAGACAATTATCCTTTTCTTGCGAACATCCCCATCTATTCGTGACAATCATCTCTATCTGTTTGTATCCTAGACTCCTCTTGTAGTCAAATAAGATTGTATCATTCTTATTTTCTACCAATTTTAACTTTATGTTCATATAAGACTCAAGGGCTTTTCGGTAATGGCTTATCGGGCTTAATTGTCTGTATGACTTATTCAATGAGCCATACATAGGTGCAGGGGCAGAGCCAGAAATTTACATAAGGGGGAACACCAATTAAAATATAAATACCAAAAACAATGATATTACATAAGTCAGGATATCCAGGGCTGTTAAATTTAACTAAAATTAATATTAAACAAAAGCGTTGACAAAAAATCAAAGAAGAGTAAAAATTCATATCCAAAAATTTATGTAATTAGCCCATTTGTATTTTCATTCTAAATATATAGCTAAGTAGGTAAAATTTTATAAAGGGATCCGATAAACAACACATAAAAAAGATCGTTTGAGTTTGAAATTAAAGGATGATTTCTATATTTAAAAAAAAAAATAGGGGGTGCCCAGGCCCATTTTGGTTCTCAAATGGCTTCGCAACTGTATATATGTTCGGTTGTGGCTTATTCAGTAACACAATAACTTACTCAATAAGGGGAAAAAATAGTCATATATTACTCAAACCATTTTTCACCCATTGATTCCCCTTCTTCCCTTCCCTCTCTTTCAATTTTCATTTTCGTAATCGCTTTCCCTCTCTTTATCCATCAATACAGACACATCTGTCTCTATTTCTCTCCTTCTCCATTTCCATCTTCATTAGTGTTGGTTGTTTGATGTCCATTTCCATCTCCATCCCCATCCCCGTCCCTCCTTTTGTCCATCGATCCAGACACCTCCGTCTCTATTTCTCCATCTCCATAAAGAAAGCTAAAAAGCGATGTTCGATGAAGCTATGTAGTATTAGATAGTTGGTCGGTCGTGTTTTTTATTCTCTCTGACTGTCAACTTGATTGATTTAATGTTGCTCGTTTGATGTCCATCTCCATCTTCATCTCCATCATTCTAGGCACTTATGTCTCTGTTTCTCCTTCTCCATCTCCGTTAGTATTGCTCATTTGATGTTGTTGTCCATCTTCATTAGTGTTGCTCGTTTGATGTTGTTGTCCATCTTCATTAGTGTTGCTCATTTGATATTGTTATCTATCTCCATCTCTCGACTCATCACCAACACTTATTTCAAATCGACTCTTGTTTAGAAAATGAAGCCTATTTGTTCCTCTCCTTTCCCTCTGTGAGCTTTGAACACGGATGCTTCAGATTTTCTGGAAATTTTTTAGTTCATTACATGGAAAAAATATATATCCCATCCGTGAATCAAACTGCAATAGTTATTGTCTGATAGCTTTGAAAACCCAGAAAAACAAGAGATCAAATGCTTACGAACGGATTGAGGTTTCTTTCTCTAATTATACAACTTCGATGACAAAAAAATATAGTTTAAAACTAATAATAAATTGAAAGATCCATATTTTTTTCATTTAAAACCAACCTTTAAAAATATTTATCAAACAATTATTTTAATCACTATTATATTATATATATATATATATATATTGAGGGGTAAAATAGTCATTTAGATTGTTTATTCAGCACTATAATCAATCAACAATTTAGTCTAATTCATACAAACAATTTAACTCATATACAGACAAATTCATGATATCTTGCTTGAATGTGATTTGATGGCACACATGATCCATTTGTTTGGTTAAACTATGATGCAAGTGAAGCATTTAAGATGGAAATTTAGGGGAAACTATATGATTTTAGTCGAAAAAACGAATGCACGAGTAGATGACTTTCATATTCATAAAGATATGCATTCGTATGTTTTAATGTTTGGATTCTATCAATGAATTTGTGATTTTATATTTAATGTTCAAGTATAATTCTTGTGATTCAAAAATATCTTTTTGCTTAAAAGATAAACAACAATTTATCAAACAACGTTTAATTTATATTGAAGGGTGAATTGGTAATTTTCATCATCTAGACTAGACTGTTGATTCAGGAAAAAAAGTTAATAATAACATATTTTTATCAAGACAAACAAACTTAATTAACCATACTAAATCTAATAGAATATTTGGTAAACAACCCTTTAATGTAAAACTAACGAACAACCCCTTGCTTGGGCATGTATATATATATATATATATATATATATAGATATGTTGGTTGTGAACGAATGAAGAGCAAAACACTCATATTTTCATTCTCCATAGAATTTACATACGTCAAACTTTTTGGTTATTCACTAATCAGTTGTATTGTCGACCGTTTCATTTTAATTTACCAATTTGAGCCTTTGATGATTTTCATCTTCCATGAACAAATTATGTAAATACCCGTAAAATATTTAAAACCACATTCTTACCAAAAATGGATTTTGCAAAAAGCCACAAAGAAACAAATAATTCTAGATAACAAGCGTGTTAATTTAAATAATCTTTCGTGTTATTTTTCAATTTTGTTTACTTTATACCTATACAATGTGTAAATTAATTGACCAAAAAATCAACCCAATAAAAAACACATACCACAAAGAAAGGAGAAGAAATTTTTGTAAGTGAAGGTTCAACAAAACACCCCGATCTCTCTACCGGTGACACTATTGTCCCAACGCCCCCTTCTCTTTCTAAACACCCTTGTTTCCCTCTTCTTCTCGATATTGTAATTTTGAAACTGTAGGTACGAAAAGTGTATAACCGACAAATCACATGGACCAAATTCGTAGTTTACTCTAGAATTTATAAAGACAACTATCAATAAAGATAACTTGAAACCGTGAAGGATGAAGACAAGTTTTAATTAATATAGAATCATGCATAACATTGGTACATAAAAGATCAATACGTCAACAAAGATTGTCTAATACGTTTGTTTGACATAAATTTGAGTAATAATTAAAATAGGTAGCATATCATATTTGTAGCAATGCAACTCTAAGTTTCAAGCTTTTCCTCCATTTTGAAACTCTCAAGAAGATTGAACTTCATATTCGCAATCAATTCCTGCATCTGTTCTCTTGAATGTAATGGTGCAGGGTAAACACAAGCGCAATCCAATTGTCCATCTCGTACAGTATCAAAAATGGCAATGGATGGACCTACTCCGTGAGCAGAGGCACACCCAATGTAGTCGTCTAGTCCAAGTTCCCGTTCAGCATCGCTTGATGTCTCAATGACAGGATCCTCAAAGATAGATACCAATGAAGTTCTCAATGAAGACGATGGTGTCAAACTAGGGTTGTCTATGGCTTTGGACATGAGGAAGTTCAAATCAGCCATATCTGAGAAATGTTTATTGTTGTTTTTAGAGTTCACAAAAGCCATGTAGATCATGGTTGCCAAGTTCCATAGGATTTCATCTCCTTTCACTTCATGACTTGTCAAGATGGCAGAGTGGTAAAATCCTAAAAAATATAGAATAGAAATATCACTTGTATATATGTATATATATATGTATGTATGTATGTATGTAGAGGATATGTATGCAAAAATTAATTTCAAACTATTATTATTTATATCAACTTTGGTATAAAAAGACAATCATACTTTTAGAGTCTTTAAAAATAAAAACATACTTGTAAATAAATGAAAGTATAGTTATGCAACTTGTAAAGAATTTTTGTTTCTCATTTAATGAATAGTTTTATTTATGATATGTTGATTCCTATCCGCACGATGTTTGGTAATACAGGTAGAGTTATTTATTAAAAATTTCATCCGTCATCACGTGTTATTCTTTAAGGTCTAAAACAAGCAATTATATGTATATGTATATGTATATGTATGTAAAAATTCGTAAAATTTATTTAGGTTTTCTTTTTAAAATTCAAAATAAGTGAGAAAACAAATTTAGCTAGTCTTATTACAAGTTGAATAATAATTTATTTGACATTATGTTTTTAGACCTCCAAAAGAAAATTATTATAGTTCAAGTATATGATAAAATTAATTTTAAATCCGATCTTGATGTCCATAAAGGTTTTATATATATGTTTGCTTGCTTTCTCTCGTATGCAATATATGTATTCACTGATTTTGGGGATTCGTATATAATTTAACTAAATGACAATTCGCATACCAAATTCATGAATGGATAGAGATGGTTGGAGATAGGAGCGGCAATCGTTTAGGAAGATCACCCCATACTTTTTCCCGTGGTTGTTACTCGAGTGGCGCTTGGATGAATAAGCCGCAAGTAGTATTGCAGCTGCTAAAACGCCGCATAATTTGATTCCTCTCAACTTGCAACCCTATTTATCAAAATTAGACAAACTAATTAGAGGCAAAGATATATAGGTATAACAATCTCAATCTTGAATTTGAATACAAACTTAAACATCAATCAACATCTTAACGATGATGATTATATATATATATATATTAATAGATAAATATTTTTCTAATAATTAATAAAATATTCTATTTTCAGAGTTCTTTTATTTTATAAATTACTTGAAAAACTATAAAAAGGAATAAAATTAGTATGAAGGTGCATTCATTAATTAATAGTACATATCGACACACAACTATCAAAAAGCCTTATAAAGGATGGTCGGCATTGTTTGAAATTCAGCCATTTAAATTTGTAGCCCGTGTCAGTACTGAAAAATGATTTTACTATATACTACAGTATCTATTTATTACTCATTATATTTTCTGTCTATAGAACCCTACATAAATCATGTGGATTAAATTAAAGATCTCAGTGACTACTGTATTCTGGAGATGGTGGTTACAATTCTAATGAAACGAGTAGTCGCTCATTTATCATCTACATATATGTGTCAGGTATATGGGAATTGTTATTTGCATTCTTTTAATATCAAAATCAAGTTAAATCATATATTAAAAGTGAGTTTTGATGTTGATGTAAGTTAAATCATATATAGGAATGCATTAGCCTACCGCAAGGTGGAATATACATATGTAGGGGTCAATGCAAATAAGAACACTAAATATCGTGAAAAATAAGAACGGAAAGTTAAAAGAAAGTTGATATGGGAATCATTGTTACAATCAGTTTGAATATACATATGTGAACCTATATGAATAATCTGTTAATTCAGTTTATATATGGATTTTCAAATAGTTTTTTTTCCAAACTTTTCAATAATATACTACAACATAATTGAGTTTGAGTTTATAGGATATTGTAAGTGCTCAAATGTCCTAATAGGATATCTTATTAAGTTTATAGGAACAAAAAATAAATTTTCTATTTAAAAGTCTTACAATAAATTTATAGGATGCATTTGGACGTCGTAACAAAAATTTTACGACATTTTTTAAATAAAGTGCTATATTAGTTATTTTATAGAACGTTATTTGTAACATGCCATATAAACACAAGTGTCCTATTAAAAGATGAGTATAGGACAATTCTCAAAATACCCTATAAAATACCTAGTACGACACTTTATTTAAAAGATGTCTTGAAAAATCTGTTTCGAAGTCCAAAAACGTCTTATAAACTTATTATAACACTTTTAAATAAGATGTTTTATTCTTTGGTGCTATAAACTTGAATTCTATAACACACTATGTTAAGACACTTAAACACTTTAAAAATCTTATAAACCCGATTTTGTTGTAGTAAATTCAAGAATGAAACTTATACTATACACGTAAGTTACGCCCTTGACCTAAAAGTATAATGTAATTGTAATAACATGACATAGCTATGATATCTTCATAAAAAAATATTATATGTGATGCTCAAAATCTGGTTCCCCATTAACCTCAGCAAATTTTGACTCTGAATTGCATACTTATCATTTAATGATGATTACAAACTATACAACTACAATAATTGATCATTTAACATATATTTTAGACCTACTGAAATTAATTAATAGAGGTAATGCATAGCATAGCAAGTAATAGGATTGAGGTTTAACGACTTACAGTCAATAGCATATGAGTTTCTTGAGTGTTCATCTTCAATCTCACCACCTCAGAATGTCTAGGAGATTTGACATCCTTAAACTTCAAATTTGTGAGCCTAAGGGAGTTAAGCGAGTATGCCATCATGTCCTTCCCATGGGACCAAAGTGTCTTCTTAGTTTTCCCACTAGGAATAAGTTCCTCTATTCCCATATTTCCCTTCTCTTTATACCCTCCCTCCTTCTCCCCCATCGCTTCCTTCAACTCCTTAAGAAACGAAACCGCAGTGGTCCGGTCACATATCCCCGCGTGTAACCTCAACACCAGCACCCATTTGCGGTCAGGCAACGTGTATGCATTAGCAAACCATAAGGGCAAGCCTCCCATGCACAACGAACGGCCAGTAATATCAGACCACTCGTTGATGTTGAGTTCATGCTCAAGAATCAGATGTAACGGCGATAGAGAGTTGTTGGAGCCGCGGCTCATGAGGGTTCGGAGGAGTTCAGATGTTTTGGACATGGTCATGATGTTGAGGCGGATGGAAGGGATAGGAGGGTTGATGATGAAGGAAGGTGAACCGTTGGAGGCGTTTTTGTGTAGCACAGAGTTGAGGCTGGGATGGTCATTTTGGATTTTCTGAAGGGATTTTTTGAAAAGTGGAATGTTTGGTTCCTTGGAAACTTGGAGTGCCAATGCTGTAATCCCTGTTCCACCAGCCACTGCTTTGCACCAATTTTGCTCCGTGCCCCCTAGAGATCTTGTTTGGCTGTCAAATATGATTGGATTCTCACTCATTTCTATGTCGTGTAAAGATATATGATATATATATGTATATATATATATATATAT